ACCCATAGAGGACACGTGAAACTCACATCGAGAACATAGAGAGCGAGACGTGAAAAACAGCAACGACGATAAAATGACGGTACCCAATTTATGAAATACGACGAAGTCGAAACGTGAAAAAGTGATAGTGACATAAACAACACGATACAAACATTTTACAAAGATTTACAAGACTACACTCTCGCGACGCCTACCACTCGAGGCGTTCGGACTTAGACCGGCATGCGACTGTGCTAAAATTACCAGAATGCCAGTAAATGACACGTACAGGGACGGTTGTATTTGCTCATCTTATTTAATTTACAGGTACGCCCTTTTTTTTCAATGACTATTTGGTAATCGTACTATGCAACCCGTATAACTTTAGAAGTTTTTCCATAATTTCCGTTTTTACAAGAACTTTTAAATTTCCGGCACAGTCTCGAGAACAATCGCTATTCAATAGTTAAAAAGCCGAAAGATTCATTTAGTCGGTACAGACCTTATCCTATTTGTAACTATTCGTCGTTCAAGATTAGGCGTAAGTCGATGAGATAGTCACAAGTGGACGCGCCTTCTTCAACCATAGAACAGTTTTTTTCCGAAGAGGCAAGGAAGACCAGATTCTCGTTCGAGACCTCATATACTTTTACTAGACAACCAGAGACGAGGAGTCTATAGAATAGAGGGGGTCGGAGACAAGAAGAAGAAGAAGAGTCGCTGTCCCTCCTCACACGTGCCTCCGTCTACAAGTTAGACTGAAGACGGCGGGCAGGTGCCTGAACCGAAAAAGAGCGGACAGAGAGGCACTGGACGGGGAAGGAGTAACCATAGAGAATGGTAGAGTTGTGGGGCATGGGCGAGGGGAGTAAGCTAGAGTAAAGAGACGAGTAACGCTCTAGAATGAAAAAGATTGTTATTCGTACATACCAGTTAGTGTATCAGACGGAACTTAATTAACTATCACGGGCAGCGCAGTTGCGGTGTTCACTTTGTCGTGCCAGGCCCCCAAGTTCAATCTCATGTTAGACGTTTTGTTTATGTTGTTCAGGGTAACAGTGATTGAAAAAATAGGGTAATGTTAATTTTTAGAAACATCCAGATAACACACCTGAAAATTAAAGAGAACAAAGTTCCCAAGCGAACAGCAACTATCTCTTTACGAGCACACCGACCTGGCAATGCAATGTAGCAGCAACGATGTTTGTTTCTTAACCATTCTCTGAGTTGACCTCTTGAAGCTATTGAGAGTGGGACAATCCCGTGTCTCAGTTGGGAGGCCATTCCACAATGAGCTGCCTTTAATGGAAAGGACATTTTGTCCAAAAGTGCTCCGTCTGCGGTGGACCTCACAGTCTCCTCTGGTTTCGGACCTAGTGCAGCGTCCAGTGTGTTTTCTGTGGATGACAACTGAAGTTTAATCTTGCATGAGTACTGCTTGATATTACAATTACAAAAGATTAGGAATGTCATCCTATGGTTGCATTACACTCTGTATTCCCATGTGAAAACCTCCTGTCCCAACTAAGATAAGATAAGATATACTTTATTGATCCCAAATTGGGAAATAGTTTCGTTACAGCAGCATGTTAAAACAAAGGCATTGCACATCATTTGAAAAATGAAAAAAAGAGTAAATAAACAAACATAAACATCTTAAAATAGAAAATAAAAAGTCAAATATATACAAGCTGACGGTGAAAGATAACAATCTGTAGACAAATAAACACTCTGAAGGGCCAAATGACGGCTAGCACAATTTAAAAGCAGGATATTATTTACATTAAGTGCGCAAAGAATGGCATATTAATCAAATGAAAAATGAACAGTGTGAAGAAAAGTCCAGTTATAAGTCCACCAGCCTGCCTTTTCTAATGTGGAGAGTTAAATATGATATATCATCTGCAAAGAATGGCTGTTTCCAGATGTTTCTTGTTGAAATGATGCCATCAGCCGCAGAAGACATGCAGGGTGCAGTTATGTAATTGTGAGCCAATAGCTGATCGGTTCTTCTTCCCTCCCTGCAGACCATGAGGAGTGTGAGTGTGTGTTTCTGCCTGGCTCTGCTGCTGCCGTGGTGTGTCCAGAGCCAGAGGAGCAGCACTTCCTCTCTCGCTAAACTCGATGAAGACACACAGAGGGATGAGCTGGCTGTCGACATCCTCAACCGCAGCGGGGTGTTGAACTCATTGCTCCGATCAGAGCGCCACACGATGCTCCGTCGAGAACGAGCCCCTCGCCCGGCCTCCCAGGTGCCGAAGAGAGCCCAGCAGGGGTCCCGCTTCGCCCTCTCCCTCGACGTGCCCACCAGCATCCTCAGCGTCCTCATAGGCCTGGCCAAGAACCAGGACATGAGGACCAAGGCGGCAGCTAATGCAGAACTGATGGCACGGATAGGCAAGAGGAAATAAGAAGAAGCGCCCGGGGCCCCTGGGAGCCTTCAGGGGCCCCAAGGACAAACCTCACAGAGGAGTTAGCCTCTTACATCGTGGCACCGACACCTGCTTAGAAACAGTGTTAGTTCAGGGGAAATCAGTCATTATGGTCAGTATCTGTCCTTTAGAGCTTAGATCGGCTTTACTTTTATACTTGTATTATCTGATTATATGACCTCGTTCACCACCTGAATGAAAAGAGAAGAAAGTAGAAATAATTCTGTAGAAAACAAACTGCAAACAGAGAAGGATGAAGCTGGTCTCAGAAACTGTGATGAGGTTTCTTGTGTTTCCATGTGTAATCTTGAATTCAAAGAAAAGTTTGTTCAATTAAATCCAATGAGATAAAAAATATTATTTTTTTGCCCAAGTCTAATTCATTTCACTCTGCATTGATGTCAGGCACGCGCATGATTACAAGCATCAGCAAACACATAAAGCACAAATGAATGGCTCTGGGCTAAATGAGCTTGCGTCACCCGCAGCAGCGTCTGATGTGTGATAACGGGACAAAGGCACGGGCAGGATATTGACCTCTGAGAGAAGAACAGACCCTTTCTAAAGACCTTTGTTCACAGATACTCAATAAATTCTATTTTAAGTCTGATGCATTATCTGCTCTACATTACACTAATATCTGTGGCATGACTCATCTGTGCTCCTGCAATGAGCATGAAATATGAAGCAACAGAGGGAAATAAGCTGCTCGTCTCGTCATGACCTTGAATTATTTCTTGTTTAACTTCAGGTAGCTTTAGTGTTATAACAGCTAAAGCGACCTCATTGCATACATTACAATATATGTTATGATATGATGCAGCACTGTTAGTAAGGCCACTACTGGGTATCACAGAAACTATCCAACCCTTTCAAATAAACCCGTTATCCCGCAATTATTCCGACATTAGCCGTGTATTGTTGCTGCAGCTGCTGTCATATCGTCAAGGGAAACTTGTGTCCATGTTGCCATTAAATCATTTTAACATTCATCTAGTTAAGAAAGGCAAAATGTTTTTTCCTTAAGCTTTTTCTTAATTCTTAAGCGTTATCACTGGCAATTAAGGAAAGTGCAATTTCAGAGAGACATTCTGTTTATTAAAAATACAGTCGCAAAATGCTGTATTCTCAATAGAATAAAATAAAAACTCCACTCATCTTAATAAAAGGCAGTTATCAAAACAACTCAAGGCTACATGTGGAGGCTTTTATGTAATGACTGCATTACTCCGAGGAACCACAATGCTCATTTCACTTTGGGTTTAAGAAGTTGTTTCACAAATAACCCTTGGCAAGTGTATTTTTATACAAGAAATACATATTACTCTACCGTTTTGAGACATCACTTTCCGTTTAATTCTACTTTCCACTATATTGCTCCTCTACAGTTACCTGACAAAAACATTTAATTTGTGTTGTCAATGTCAATCAATGTGTTGTTCTAACTACTCAGCAATACATAAAATTAGTGAAATAATATCACTTAAAAGTACAGCTTGCGTCACAAACAGCTAAGTAAATGTATGTTTTAATTTGCCAATAAAGTCATAGTTTAGAATGTTATACTTTATATTATTTCAAGTATAGTATGTCATAAAAAAATCATATTATATTTATATTGAAGCCCAAATCAATTCCCACAAAGTGGTAGTTCAACAGTGTTTCCTACGAGTAGTTGCAGAGCAATGTGTCTAAAATTATGTTATTACATATACTATAATTTAAGTTGATGCTATTTAACCGAACATTGGTCAAAAACCTTGCTTACCTGCAGAAGCTATATTTTATATTATGCTATATTCTTGTGCAGGTATTGGAATACTTCTTTAAATAAATCATTGTATGAGAGAACGACCTGCCACAATAGTAACTGTTATATCAGCTAAATATGTTGTTGTGCCCATTTGTCATAGAAATTTACTTATATATTATACTTTATAATATCAAAGAGAGCCTGCCTGTGAACATTAGATAACTGAAGGTAGAGTTGACATACATAAAATGGGGTTACACATCAGTGGGTCTGCCTTGGTCCTGAAGCAGTGCATCGTTTGTCCACACGATGTCCTCATTGGTTCTCCTCTTCCCCATCATATTATTTACAGAAATTAACTATGGCCAATACTAGTTTACAGCTCGGTAAAAACGGCTGCTCACATCGTCTAATATATTTAGTTGTCCCCCTTACTTCCAGACTGCTCTCCAAATGCTCATCAGCTATTCAAGCAGAGGGGGAGAAAGGAGCCAAAATGGCGCTTACTCCAGTCTCTAATCAGTCCAATCCAGGTGTTGTTAATTAATGCTGAGGCAGTGACCGGTTTATGTCTGTGTCTGTGACAGCAGGATCACTCAACGGAACAGTAAGTCTGAATATGTTCTCTGTAACCTCATTCTTTGTCACGGTGTCTTTTACTGCGTTTTATTTTGTCCTAAACAGGCTTGTGCACACATGTGGCTACTACAAATGTATGCTATGGAGGTGGAAGGTGACCAGTTTCTCCTATTTCCTGTTTAAGTGGTTGTATAATCTTAATTTTCTACCTCAGTCTATCTGAATGTTAATCATCTTAGAAAACAATAGGCTGATTGTTCACTGTTCCTCAAGTTTGTTTTGTTACGTATTACTCGCACAGAAGTAGGCTAGTAAACACCAATTGAGGATTATATTTTCCAGTAGGCCAACAATATGCTTAACCATTATGTCAGTAGGCTACTCAGTATGTGTAGATTTAAGATTGTACTTTGGTGAGTTCCTGTTGCGTCATTGTTCACATCAGTCACTGGGTTTTAATTGTAGTGCACACAGATGATCTCAGAGTGACTACCTGTAGCTTTAGTTGTGTAAGAAGAAGTGATAACACTGTAACTACACCCATTCTCTCTATAACCGGACACATAGACCAATGTGCAAGATAGCGCATGAACGATGACCTAATTTGGGACATTTCCAAGAGATTACATTAGCCTATGTCACATATTCTCCGTGACCTATGACATACAAAGGGTGAACATTGTTCTCAAAGTGATTTAAGAAATTGAAGTTTGAGTGTATATATATATTAAAAAAACTATCAGTGTTGCCTTTTGAAATAATGTGAATTTAAACATGCTTTAGTATCGCAAATACATGTATTTTAGCATCATGAATGGACTGCCTTTACAATGGGCTTTTTCTTGTATTTGCGACCATTTATAATTTTACCATACAACTAATGATAAAGAAATAAAAGACCCATTCAAATCTGATTTATCGGAACATATAGTTTGAAACGAACATTTTGCCCACAACGTCCTAATGTAAAAACCTTTTCTCCTTAAGAGCCACTAAACAAACATGACCTCTACCCTGAGTGACTTTTATGTAATAGAAATGAGTTCAAGTGATAAAGGTTATTGTAAGAGGATCAATTAATGTAACTGTTTACACTGTTTAATATAACATTACATTACATGTTACTTGTTAGACGCTTTTATCCAAAGCGACGTACATACTCAATACTGTGGGCAATCCCCACAGGAGCAATTTGGGGTGAAGTGTCTTGCCCAGGGAACACAACGACATGCTGACTACAGTGGGGTTTGAACCTGTGATCCGAACACCAACCACAACCCACTGCACCACATGCCTCCATAACAAACTGGAATCCAAGTTTTTTATAGGCTAAGATCAGTGGGAGTGTTCATGGAGAATTACTCAATAAAGCTTGCGACAGTCAATAGCACAAAGTTCAGTGACCAAGTGGAGCAAGAAAGAGGAACAAGAGAAGAGTGTTGGAGAATTTTGGTGGAGTCAGCACTTCAGCATCGAACGCTATAAGGATTATACTCAAACACGGTCAGGACATTTCTATAACAAGGAGATTATTTGTTATATGTTGTGGATTTTGTTTCTTTTAAGCAAGATCTTTACCGTGTGTACAACGTGAGTTATATAACATGTAAGCTTGAGTTTGTCATCTGTTAAATTGATCATTTTGAAATCTCTGGTTCTCAAATGTTAACATCGGTTGTCTTTACTCCTCGTTGAAAGTAAAATGAATATCTATTTATAGACTAACTATTTTAAACATGTCATCTTGCCATTTTAGAAAAACAGTGATCATTTTTACACATTTTCTGAATTATTTTCTTGATAAATTAAAAACATAATCCACAGAAATAAATCTTGCTGCCCTTATATTCACTTGGAGACTTAGGCAATACATTATTCATCTTGTACCAGCATTTACTTTATATGCTTGTTTATATTCTCAAGCTGCAGTTGACATTTTAAGCCACTACTAGCTCCCTCTGTGAAGCCTGTTAGTAATGTTGATCGTGATGAAGTGAACCTGCAGTCAAAGTCTAAAACCTGATGCTACCTCCAATCACAGGTGGAGGTGATCTCAGATGGATTACGCCATGAAGATGCTCACCCTGCCGACTCCATCTTCCCTCTCCAGGTAAGAGCCCTACTTCATGACGAGGATAGTAAACAATCTCCAGTTAATAGTTAATAATAAGGTTTTGTCTTTATTTTTCTCAGTTCTGTGACAGCCGGCCTCTCAGCCGGAGCCTCTATGACTCAGCAGCTCCTGACGGGTCGAGCTCCCCGGCCAAAGCCCTTCAGGGTCTCAAATGCCGACCGCAGCGTGAAGAAGGGCATCATGGCCGACACGCTAGAAGACCTGATTAACAAGGTAAGGACATTTTGATATTATAGCGTGGATGTATTCTATATACATATTTAGGAGATGCTCCACTCTATCGTTTTAGGAAAAGTGGTGGCCTCTGTGTTAAGCCGCAGATTTTACAACTGGTGTGCAACACTTTTTTCGAGTGTTTAACTAACACCTTAGGAATGTATCTCTGTTCATTTACTCAAGTACTGTATCTAAGGAAATTACAGAAATTAGAGTATTTTCATTGTATACAACTTTATAATTGTAGTCCACTATATTTCATAAATATTGTTCTTTTAACTTAAATTTGTGTTAAAATAGTTTTCAGATTACATTTTTACATTCACTTCCTGTCAAGCTAGAACCATGTATCTCAAGACGTGGGCATTTGAATTATTTGTGTTCATTTATGTGCAGTAAAATAAATAAAATGGAAAATAAACTTTTTCAAACCCTCTTTGGACAAGTAGGAAAACAGACATTTTCTTTTTTGGAAACAAATGAAAGTTTTACCATTTAGAGTTACATGGTTCTCAGAGGGCAGCAACACTATGAACATACAATGAAGTTATAAAATATGAATTATTGCTGAAGATGAAACTACCCAACAGCATGTCAAAAATCTTTTAAAACACCCACAGTTTCAAGTAATCCAAAACCATCACATAAAACCCTGACAGGGAATATCTTACTGCGCAGATCATATGTTAAAAACTCCTGCCTGTGTAAAGTGTAATGCAGGACTTGTAGTATTAGTATTTTCCTTTTAGCAACGATTCTAAATACTTCTTCCACCTCTGCTCAGGTCAGCGGCTCGTTGAATGTAGCGTGTGTCGGCGCCATGGTGCTGGAGGAAGACGGCACAGGGGTGGACACAGAGGAGTACTTCCAGACGCTGCCTGAAAACGCCGTCCTCATGGTGCTGGAGGAGGAATGCAAGTGGACCCCACCTCCGGTATGATGGTGTTTCACATCCTTCACATCCCACCACTGGGGGACACTGTGGATCAGCTGCTCAGTGTGATGCTCCACAAATTGATTTCCATCTTTTGTGCAGCGCTGGTTATGCCAGGGGTTCATTGATGTAGTGATCGAAATAAATATATTTTATGCAGCTAACATGAATATGGAAAGCACAAAACGTCTGTAGACTAGAGAATAACACGTTGAATAATAAGTTAAATTAAATCAGCAAATATTGTCCCCTTCCGACTGAATAGGGGAGTGATACGTCAGTTATTGTGCACTGGGCGAACTAGTTTTTTTCATTCATTATTTTGAGGAAAGTTCAAAGCTAAGGTCGAATATTAATCAGACGTCATCAAATTTGAATTGTGTGTACGGACAATAAATTAATTTCCATGTAAATGCAGTTATTTGCATCCCCCGCTACCTGTTTATTCCAGTCACCTCACATTGACCTTGCTTCATTGTCATTTTCCTATCCCATCATCATCGGCGGGAGCTGCTTCAGTCTGCTGTGTCTGAAATAACGTCAACAAAACTTGTCTGTTCCCTATTGACCCGTCCCTGTCGCCCCTCAGAACAGCCACTCCAAAGACCAGCTGAGTGAGCTCAGGCCACAGCAGCGGAGAGATGTGGTCAAGTTGACTTTTGACCTCTACAAAAACAACCCCAAGGATTTTATCGGCTGCCTGAACGTGAAAGCAACCATGTACGGTGTTTATTCTCTGTCCTACGACCTGCACTGTCACAATGCCAAAAACATGCTGAAGTGAGTGAAACAGTCATCCAAATATCTCTGCTTTTTGTGATGACTTGTTATATAATTGTGTTTGTTTTTCTTCAAAGCATATCTATGTTTTACTGAACTGCACTAGCAATAGTTTAATCATGTTAGGGGGGGATAATGTATTCATTTTAATGAGGTGATAATCCATAAAATACCAAGCAGATTATCACATTTGCAACCACCCATTGTTTTCCTGCTTAACTTGACACTTTGTATCAGCATCCTTTCTGACATATGACCACCAGTTGCAGTGCCCTGTACACAGCCACTAACATCAAGTCTAAATTCATATTTTAATGTGGATACCTGCGTGGGTGGCGGGGTTGAAAAGATCAAATTGCTGAAGAACAAAGGCTAGATTTTACAGAGATTAATTTAGGGAGGACTTATGTCATCGTTGCTGAGATCTGCTGGTTTTCAGATTTGGAACGGAGCTTCCTGTCAGAGAGGATTACATTTGGCAGACATGGCAAACATTGGGCTTTTGTGCTCACATTGCAGTATAAGGGTTTTTTCTTTTTTTAGATGATTGTTTCATTAGATTGTGTCCAAAAGAGATCGTCTCAGTTTGTGCTTATTTCCTGTCAGCCGTTCCCTCGCCAGGTTATGTGGCCCATTACTCAACCCATGCCCACTCTCTGTTTCTGTGTCTGTGCTTCCAGGGAGGCTCTGCGATGGGCCATCTTCACCATGCAGGCCACGGGACACATCCTGCTGGGCTCCTCCGGCTACATCGAGCAGCAGCTGCTGGAGGAGGAGGAGGAGGAGGAGGAGCGGGCGGAGAGGAGGCCGGAGCTGCCGCAGGAGAGCCGGATCAGGCAGCTGCAGAGCATGCTGCTGGCGAGGATCACACACTGATGAAGAACTGAAGCTGACAATGGTCCACTATGAGACGTAGGACACCGTGTAGATGGTCACAGATGAGATAGGGATCTCTACATGTTCATGTCCCAGTTTGCGGACATTGCATCAGTCTCACTGTCACTTTCTTACTCTGTTACATTTTTCTGCACTTTATGTACACGCTGATACCACATTTTATTTGACAGAAAGCACGTTTACTCACTTATGTAGCTTTTTCCTAGGGTGATGAATAAATTAAAGTACAACTGTTTTTAAAAGGACATATTCTGCTTGATTTCAAGTTCATATTTGTGTTTTGTGCCTCTGTGACATGTTTACATGCTAGG